TCATTCAGGTAACTTTTTGCCACTAATGAATAATCCCACCTTCTAAAGAAATAAAATCTTGCATCATACCAAGCTCTTCTTCAAATTGTATCTTAAGGTACTACTACCTTTTCTTCCACAAATATTACAGAAACACAGTATTACTCAATATGTAAAAAAGACAGAGAGATTGAAACATATAAAAATAAACTATTTTGATTGAAACATATAAAAATAAACTATTTTGTTAACATTGAAGGAAATGAAATACCAGATGAACTTCAACATTATATGTGACTTAAAATAATGATTAAAACTGCTAATACTCGGGAGACTTAAAGCTCCATCCTCTCCATAAGAAAAGGAAACCCAAACTCAAATTTCTTTTGTTTGGTTTTTGTTGGCCATGATCAAAAAGAAAAAGTATAGTTTGAACACAAACCAAATATGAATGTTGACTGGACTGGTGAGAATACCTGGCCCTCTCTGAGTCTTCCTGAGAAAGAAAAAATGCAGAATTATATCATAGGGAAGAAAAAAAGAGCCTGACACAGCACTAGGAAGCAAATATGAGCAACATGCTGTTAGCACTTTTAACGCTATGTGTTTTTTTGAATAATCCGTGGCAAGGTGGAACTCATTCAAGTCCGAAGAACTGATTTCACCTGCTTTGGGTAAGAATGCCAATAAACTACATTAGGAGATGTAAATAAGGCAGGTTAATACAATTAATAATTGGTGTTCAGTAGTCAGTCTTTCTTATGATTAGTATATTAACGCAGAAAAAAAGAACAAGATTTTTTGACTTAAGAAATTAAATTAAAAATAAAAAAGAGCTTTACAAATTTACATTAGTAAGAAATGTACTACATAACTACTACATTCAGTTTGTGAATATTTTATAAAGTTATTTTAGCCCTAATAGAGATGATTATTCTCAGTTTCCTCATACCTATTTTATATTTTCTTCTCTATTATAGGAACAAAGCTTCTTAAGCAAATCGATCAGTTATAAGTTCTACAACTAGATCTGCTCTGCAGTGACAGGGAAAATAATAAACCCAAGTTATAAAATCTGAGGGAGGATAACTAGCTGGAGCACCTTAGTATCTTTTATTCTGTTGAAAGATGAGAGAACGCTCATTTTGGCTCACACAAAGGAATATGTGAGAAGCAGCAGGACAAAACCACAACTAGTTTAAAATTAAAACATTGAAATGTTTCACATGCCACTAGCATCTCAAATTGTTACAGTATGTTAAGAATAACTTTAATTTTAAAACTGTCCAATATGAAGGTTATAACAGGGCTCTAAAACCAGAAATCCTTCCTTCAGTTACTCACTTCCTACAGTTTTCAACATGTCACACTATTCTAAAGATAGTAAGCCAGTTATTTTTAGAGTTAAAAGCTTCACCTCCAGATCATAGATGGGTATCTAAAGACTAAAGCTGGCTTTCATACTGCTTATGGTCACATGGTTATCTTCTACATTACCACTGGATACATTAACTTGTTTAATATTTTTTATGACGATTCAATAGGCCTAGTTAAAATCCTGTAAGAAAATTTCCCAGGGGAGAGGGTAGGTTAATTTCATAATACCTGTTAGTAATATCTGCACCTGGCAAGCAGACAGTTTGCTATTTACATAAGATTCCTCTTAGTTCTTGGGTAACAAGTCTCTTCCTGACATTCAATCAGAAAATAGAAAGCCAGTGTTAAGTGTTCAGCATATTCAGGTCAAAGAATAAAGTATTATAGTACATATTGTAAACAGATAGCTGCTGATGGTATCTATCAAGCTTGATTTCTAACAATTTAAGTTTGAATTATGCACATTATCTAATACAGAAATTAGGTCTCCCAGTTCATGAAAGGAGTGCACATCTATTCAGAAATCTCCTATAGCAGATGTGCCTCTTAGGAGTGCAAAAAGAAGGTGACATTCATTTGAGTGGCATTAATTTTGACGTGAGATTGCTCACAAATGCAATCTGTATTCCACATTTTGGAAACCCTTGTTCTTGAGCAAAAAAACCTTCAAATGTGCATTCCGCCAAGAAATAACAGAAATCTATGTTGTTCTTTATAAGTAACATGAGAACTAATATATACACAAATGTCAGTTTGGCAAAGAGACAATAAAAAGTCAGCACAACTTTTGTAAATAAAATTCTAATGACAGTTTTAGGATTTCTCAACAGGGGTGCCAATTAACTGTCATTGTAGTTTTAACTATTTGAAATTATGGGTAATATCAGCATGTATTGCTTAAATCTTGGTGATCCAAACCTTCACACAGCGAACATTTTCCTAAAAACCAGAAAAACCCTCACATCTCCCATATACCTTTTTAAAAGGCACCTGAAGTTTGTGAAAGGAACTCTAAAGAAACATTGCAATAATGTCAGTCTCGCTTCAGTGCCTGGTAAAATCATGGAAAAGGTTATTCCGAGAGGTACTGAAAAACACCTGGAGGACAACTCAGTTATCAGTCACAGCCAACACGGCTTCATGAGGGGAAAATCCTACTTGTCAAATCTGATTTCCTTCCATGACAGGGGAACCCACCAAGCTGATCTAGGAAAGACAATAAATGTAATCTTTTTGGTCTTCGCTTCTGATATTGTCTCACACAGTAACCTTCTCAACAAAATGTTCAGCATACAGCTGGATAACTGTGTTATGTGACGGGTGAGCAACTGGTTCACAGGTCAGGCACAAAGAGTAATAGTGAATGGGGTAACATCAGACTGGCAAACAGTCACTAGTGGGGTTCTGCTCCATCCTAAGCCCAGTTCTCTTCAACATCTTCATTAACAACCTGGACACAGAACTCAAAGGTACACTAAGTAAGTTTGATGACAACACTAAATTGGGAGCAGCTGTTGATTTCCTCAAGGACACAGAGGTCCTGCAGAGAGACCTTAACAAATTAAGAGAGATTTAACAAGGGAAAGTGCAGGATCTTGCACCTGGGATGGTTGTGTGTATAGGCTAGGGAACAAGAGGCTGGAGAGCAGCTCTGCAGAAAGGGATCTGGGGGTCCTCGTTGATGGCAAGTTGAATACGAGTCAGCAGTGCCCTGGCAGCCAGGAGGGCCAACCGTGTCCTGGGGGGCATCAGGCACAGCATTGCCAGCTGGTCGAGGGAGGGGATTGTCCTGCTCTGCTCTGCACTGGTGCAGCCTCACCTTATTTTATGAGCAGTTTTAGGTGCCACGATATAAAAAAGACACTAAGCTATTAGAGAGCGTCCAAAGGAGGGCCACAAGGATGGCGAAGGGTCTGGAGGGGAAGCTGTATGAGGAGCGGCTGAGGTCACTTGGTCTGTTCAGCCTGGAGGAGATTGAGGGGAGACTTCATCACAGTCTTCATCATCCTCAAGAGGGGAAGAGGAGGGACAGGCATGGATCTCTTCTCTGGGGTGACCACTGACAGAACCCAAGGGAATGGTTCAGTCAGGGGAAGTTCAGGTTAGGTACCAAGAAAAGTTTTTTCACCCAGAGCGTGGTTGAGCACTGGAAAATGTTCCTCAGGGGAGTGGTCACAGCACCAAACCTGTTTGAGTTCAAGAAGCATTTGACAATGCTCTCAGGCACATGGTGTGATTCTTAGGGTGTCCTGCACAGGAGCTGGACTTGACGATCTTATGGGTCCCTTCCAACTCAGCATATTCAATGATTCTATGATAAATCAGAATAAATTGAGCAGCAGCTTTCTCAGATTGTAACTCTATCTTTATGCCTTCCCTATTAGTTTTAATCTGAATAAGCAGCCAAATGTTTCATCATTATTAACTGAAAACAAGGTTTTTTTTAATCTCCTGTAGTTGATTTTTAAATCCTAAAAGTTGACTTAATCATCTGTAAAGACACTAGCATTTGCCAAGTTACTCAAAAGAGGAAAAATACAAATGTAAGACCACTAAGGAAAAAAAAGGTAAAAACTCAAGCCCAAAAAGTTAACTGAAATTAAAACACTTATTGTTAAGACACTTACCTAACTGAAACTAATCTCATTTCATTTAAAATAGATTAACGACTTTAAGCCAGCACATGGTGGAAACACAAAACATTTCATTTTAAGAAGAAACATGTCATTCCATAGTTTCTCTTTTGCTGCCATAAAGTGCCCTGGATATCCACATCAATATATAGTTTATAAGTAATTGCTTTCAGTAATAAGACACTTCAAAATGACACACAGCAAACCATTAGTTAATAACTTCCTTCAAATCCTACGTTAGTTCTCTGAATGGTGAAAACATGCACAACAGGTGATTTTAGCCTACCATCCATTTCTGAATATGAGCCCATTTTCTATCACATGAATGCTGAGAAAACTACAGAATGTAAAAAGGAAAACAAACAAACCATTTACAATATAAATTAGTCACCACACAAGACTGGATTCCTAAATTGAAAATTCAGAAAAATCTAGTTAAATTGCTATGTAATCTTCAGCATAATACCAGATACCTATAGCAGTTCAAAACCTGAATCTACGGCCTAACAAGAACCATATAAAATTAAGGCAAAAACTGTTTTGCAAATTGCATTTGTAATTACCACAGAAAAAAACCCCCACAACAACCAAATATCAGCAATCCATTGATTTGAATGTAATAATGAAAAAGAATAAGTTCTCAATCTTCTGCATGCAATGTCAAAACCTGAATTAAATACAATAACCATGAAATAACCAGACTGCTGAAAACCTAGTTTCTCTAGAGGTTTTTTCTCATGAAATGCAAACTTTTTCTTTAGGAGAAATGTGTGGAGCAACACACAACTGTATGTGTAAATATTACCCCAATTTTATTCATTTTTTTAAAAATAAAGATCCTGACAACAAGATTATTTATTGTGAATACTTTTGGTATAATCCAATCCTAATGCTGAAATACTAGCATGCAGCTGAATTACACTAAAAGAAAAAATCTTATGCAAATACAGAAATAAAATACGTTAATAATTTTAGTAAAGGTTTGTAAGAATTCCTGACGAGTTACACTACCTCTTTTTGCTGTCGTTCCAGCTCTCTCATACGTATATCTCTTGCTTCTGCTCGAGCTGCTCGTTTGGCTGCAAGTCTGGCTTCTGCCTACAAGCAGATTAAAAATAATGAAAGTTAAAAACATGTTTTTTGAATAATGGTTTAAGTACTCAAATTAATAATCTCTTCACAATTGCGCATTAAGATTCTAACATCACAATACAGAGGCAGTAAAGAATTCAGAGTTCTCAGAATGAAATTTCAGAAAGAATATGTACCCAACTTTATGGATATCATTGCTAGTCAAAAGAATTACATGTTGATAAAAGAATCATAGAATGGCTTGGATTGGAAGGGACCTTAAAGATCATCTAATTCCAACCCCCAGACCAGGTGCCACTAACTAGACCAGGTTGCTCAGGGCCCCATCCAACCTGACCTTGAACACTTCCAGGGATGGGACATACACAACTTCTCTGGGCAACCTGTTCCAGTGCCTCACCACCCTCACAGTAAGAATTTCTTCCTAACATCTGATCTAAATCTACCCTCTTGTAGTCTAAAAACATACATTCTCCTATGTCCTATCACTATCTGCCTGTGTAAAAAGTCACTCTCCCTCTTTTTTATAAACCCCCCTCAGGAAGGCCACAATGAGGCTTCCCCAAAGCCATCTCTCCTCCATGCTGAACAAACACAGCTCTCTCTGCCCATCTTCATAGGAGAGGTGTTCCAGTCCTCTGAGCATCTTTGTGGCCATCACTGAGTTCTTCTCCCAGTCTTTACTCATGTCTGGGATTGCCCTGACCCAGGTGCAGGACCTTGCACTTGGACTTGTTGAACTTCATGAGGTTCCTATGGGCTCACTTCTCTAGTTTGCCCAGGTTCCCCTGGATGGCATCCTTCCATCTGTTGTGCCAAATGCACCACTCAGCTTCATGTCATCTGGAAACTTGCTGAGAATGCACTGGATTTCACTGTCTGTGTCATTGATAAAGACATTAAAGAGCCCTGGTACCAAGATAGACCCCTGAGGGACACCACTCATCAATGGCTTCCATCAGGACACAGACTCATTGAACACAACTCTCTGCCTGGGTCCATCCATCCAATTCCTTACCTACTGAATAGTCCATCCATCAAAGCTATGTCTCTCCAATTTGGAGACAAGGATGTGATGATGAGCAATCTTGTCAAAGGCCTTACAGAAGTCTAGGTAGTTGACACTGCTTCCATGAGGATCTGCTCCACAATTCCCAGGCACAGAGGTGAGGCTCACCAGTCTGTAGTTCCCTGGGTCTTCTTTTCTATGCTCTTTAAAAATAGGAGCAATGTTTTCCAGTCACCGGTGACTTTGTTTGACCAACATGACTTTTCAAATATAATGGAGAGTGGTTTGGCAACATCAGCAGCCAGCTTCCTCAGAACCCTGGGATGCATGTCTGAACTGAGTGCAGAAATATTACTGTCACTACAACTTGAAAACTGATGTCCTATGGACTTTAAAATGACTTTGCCTATGCATAGTATTTGCACAGGCATGCATGCAACTGAAGAATCTTTGGCCATAAAAAGACATAAAAACCAAGAAGAAAGAATCAAAACAAGGATACTAAACCACTACTGCTCATGCCATACTTAAAGGCTCTGCTACCATTTGGCATTATTTCGAAAAGCAAACATCACTTAGAATACTTCGAATAGCAATCAAAATCAAATTGATTAATGGACAAAATGCAGGAAAGAAATTTAAGATTGCCATTCCTTAAGAACTACCTTCAACAATGACTATCGCCAAAAAGGGACTTCCCTATCTTTTCATTCAAGGCCTTATACTGCCAACACCTTCCTTGGACACAGCTTCAGTGCTCAGAACCTGCTGTAAGCCATTTTAACTAACTACCATAGCAGTAAGTTAACAGCAGTAATAAAAAGTAGTTTTCTGGTGTGTTAGTGAAATGAATTGGCTTGTACAAAGACCTTAAGAACACCAGACCCAGCAAAAGGTACAAGCAGGACAAACATTAGCATGACCTTCCCTTTTCAGTAGCAAATAGCTTACTTCTGCACTGCTTGTGAAACCTGGTTATTGGCAGATACAACTACATATTTTCTCCAGTTTCTATCCAGCCTCAACAAAAAAAGAAACATTGTCTTTCAGACCCTAAATGCTACCCCAAATTTAATCATGAGGAAATAAAATTTGCCATAAAGCTAATGTTTGAAGAAAGCACAAGCTCAATTTCTTCATGTTTGAGTAATGAGTTGACAAAAAAATTTGTGTTAAGATTCTTGAAATATTAAACCAATGAAGGTTTTCCACCAAAATTCCAGTTGCCTATTGAATGTTAATTAAAAATTTATGAGAAACAGCAGCAGCCAAAAATTCAGAACTCCTAACAACCAAAACATTTAATTTTGTAGAACTTCTTAAAAATGTAAAATTCAATGGGATTTTGTCTTTGATTAAGGATAGGTTTTTTTCCCCTGCTTTTACCACTAGCACAGCATAGGTTTATGTAAAACACTGGAAACCTATAAAACGTTTTACTGTGCTTCAGAAAAATGAATGGGATTTTTAACCTGGACTTCAACTTCAAATTATTATTAAACTACAGGTACAAAAGTATCTATTGAATAATGAAAAGAAAGAAGGCAAACACATTATAGCTTTATTACTCCAAATAGTTTGTCTTAATTTCAAGTGATTCTCATGAAGACTGTTTTTCTGTATATTGGATACTCAGATAAAACAATTCCAAGGCTGTATCAACACTCCTGACTGTCCCAATATAATCTTTTTCCTCCTACCTGATGACAACAAACAAGTAAAGCAAGGAAATTCCCATGGAAAAGGAAGTACTCCCATTTGCAGCCCTACTCTCTAATCATCACTCTGTCATATATAAACTGTCACATAGACAGGGATGCAGCACAGAAAGAGAAAGGACTCAAAGAGCTGATATATCTGGGTTTAGTTCTGTCTATAGAAAGGAAGACATCTGCATCTAGCCTTTAGGCTCTGGTAAAGCTTTACTATTAAAGATACAAAGTTAATTTGCTTACTGATTCATGCTGAAAATCAATTCACATTTCACCACTCTCCTAGTCCTACAGAGATGTAACTTTCAGATTCCTACAGCAGAGGGGAAATTCCATTTCTTCTAATTTACTAAACCCTTGATAAAACATAAGAGAATTCTACAAACATTTGTCATAAAATAGATGCTTGAAATTGAAGAAAAAAAATCTTTTTTAGAGAAATTTTTTAGCAAGAAATGGTTTGATATTACATCAATTATTAGTCTGAGCAACTAGATTCTTCTAAAAATCACACAATTCCAAAAAAGACAAAAAATTTGGCAAGTTAACTGAAAGCACAGTTCTCGGACTTCCTTCACCGAACTCTAAAGGAAGAAACAAATCATAGTGCCATGTGAAAGGGGCCATCACACCAAGTAATTCTTTATTCTCAGCAGACCTGTTAAAGCACAGGCCTCATGTTACCAATACAGCAGTCATACAAATCTTCATAACTAATTGAAATTCTAAATTAACAATCAAAAAGAAACAACTATAATTCCAAAGGACATAGTTTTCTTTCTGGGTGCTGCTATTCACTCTGTTGCCTTACTGAAGAAAGCCCGTAAAAGTTGTGAAACAAATTACCCCCAACAAACCCTTCACAATTTAATTTTGTCAGCTACATTGAAATAAAGTCTTAAATATCTGCTAAGGAAAATACAGTGACTGTTAGGACTGTTAGTCAGGGGTCTGGTTAAGATGAAGGCTGGAAGCAGGTCACTGCACATACCAGAAGGAAGGTTCCTCCTTCTTCACAGAATTTGACAGGAAGGGTTGGTACCTTCTACAACAGGTATGACGCTCTGGAACTAGAAGGCCAGACAACTGGTGAGGTGGGCAAAGGTCATTGTGGGGTAGTGGGGCCTCCTAAAACAACACCACATGTACCCCACATCAAGACCTCCTCTGTCAAGAGGAAGAGTAGTTGTAATAGAAGACTTCCTTCTAAGGCGAAGTCTTATTAGACTCTCTAGTCTAATAAGGCCCTCTGATTACTGTCTACTATTGGTTGTTCAAACTGGTAGAAGTGAAATAACAAAGAGAAGTCCAAGGGCAATCAAAAGAAATTTCAGGGCCCTGGGATGATTGGTAGAGGGATCAAGAGCAGAGGCAGTGATTTCCTCAATTCTTCCGGTAAGTCGGAATAATACTGATAGGAATAGGTAGATCCATCAGGTCAATGCATAGCTCTGAGGTTGGTGTAAGTGGAAAAATTTTGCATTTGTTGACCATGGGATGATCTATTGAACACCTGGTCTACTGACAGCTGACAGGACGCACCTATCTCAGAGGGGAAAAAGAGTTCCAGCACAGGAACTAGCTTGGAAGGAGGAAAGGGGCAAAACAAGGCTTGCCAGTGATGAGTCATGGGATGGTGTGCCAAAATTTGAGGAAACAAGCACTCATGGGATCCCTCAATCTGCTTTACAAAGTATTGGCTACAATGTACCACACCTGAAATGTTTCTACACCAATGCACACAGTGTGATGAACAAAGAAGAGGAGGTCAGAGCTTTGGCCCAGTCCCAGAGATTTGACATTGGCATAAGTGAAACCTGATGAGATGCAACCTGTGACTGGAGTGCCCTGTTGGATGTTTACAGGTTCTTCAGGAGCGATAGGCAGGGCAGAAGAGGGAGAGGTGTGGCACTGTATGTAACAGAAGGGTTAGAATATATGGAACTCACAGTTGGCAATGGCACAGTTGAGAGCCCTGGGTAAGGATCAAGGGGCAAATAGTGCGGATGTCATTGTGGGAGTCTGCCATAGACCTCCTAGCCAGGATGATAATGCCAATTAATTATTCTTTAAGGAATTAAGGGACACTTCCAAGTCAACTGTCCTTGTCCTTATGGGGAACTTCAACTTGCCAGAAGTTGACTGGGAGCATCACACAGCTGGTACAATCCAGGCCAGAAGATTCCTAAAAAACCTGGATGACAACTTTATAGAACAGGTCCCAAGGGAACTGAGTCATAAAGATGCTTTCCTTGATCTACTGCTTGTCCACAGAGCAGATCTTG